ATTCAACATCACTGGTCATTTGAGAAATGCAAATTAAAACAACACTGAGATAGCCCAGAAAGAATGGTTAACATCAAAAAGTCAGCCAATAACAAATGCTGGAGGGGCTGTGGAGAAAAAGGAACCCTGGAACCCTTCTGCACTGCTGGTGGGAGTGCAGACTGGTGCAACCACTATGGAAATCAGTGTGGTGATTCCTTCAAAAGCTAGGATTGGAGATCCCATTCAAGCCGGCTATTTCCTTCCTGGATGTTTTTCCAGAAGAACTGAAAACCTCATACCACAGCAATATGTGTGCACCTATGTTTATAGCAGTGCAATTTGTCATAGCTAAATCCTGGAAACAACAGAGATGCCCACCAACTGAAGAATGGATAAAGAAGATGAGGTACTTTTACACAACCGAGTATTATTCAGCTATACAACAGGATAAATTTGAGTCTTTTGTTGGTAAGTGGAGGCGACTAAAGAACATACTCTTGAGTGAAACAAATCAAACCCACATGTGCAAACATTGTAGTCTTACTGTAAGAACCTGAAAGAGAAAAGTGGAATCTGAAGGGTACAAACAGATACTGGGAAAAGGGACTGAACTTATTCAAAAGGAAAGAGTTACTGAATAGAGGAGAAGGACATGAGAGGGAGTGGGGGAAAGAGACTGGTCTATGTATGCAAGCAGGATGGTTTGGACAAATGTACTGTGCATTTCTGCTGGTCTGTGAAAAGAAACAGTTACTTCTTTAATTTGGTTCATCTCCTTTTTTCAATTATTTGTACTTTTTTTCTCTTCTTAATTTCTTATACATTTCTTTTTTCTTTCTTCTTCAATTTTATCAATATCTGGTAATATGAATAACTAGCTGGAAGATAACACTGTATTACAACAAATACTGTGAAATTCATATTACTTTGTTAAGTGAAATTCTGTATCACTTTTAATTTTGTTTTAATTCTAATTTGTACTCTAAAAAAATTAAAAGTTCACTAACATTATATATTTTTCAATAAGTAGTTTATTAAAAATTAGAATGCCACAGCCCATAGACTAGAAATAATACCCAATACAATAGCAAAGGAAACCACACTAGTTTTTCCTAGTTACAAAAAAATAATAATTAGGGTGGAATATTTGAAACTCTTTATTAAAAAGAGGTTATTCTACCTAAAATAGAATTTTAACATTACCTGTATGGAAAAGAACTTCATTTCATCAAATTTAATTACAATATTCTTTTCACTGTTTTCAGAAAGTAAGTTAAAACTTTTTGTATATTTCACAAAGTTGTTTATAGAAATGCGAATATATAAATTTTTGTAATGCTTTAAATAGACTGAAAAAGAATGTTTAGGAAATAAGCTTTGTTATAATTGAATAAACAACACATTATAAAGTTAATCCATTAAACAATTGAGACCAACCTAAAATCAAGCGAGTAGGTATACAAGATAATTATAAGTGACTAAACAACACAAAAAGGTCTTTTAAAATAATAGATTTATCCACATAGAAGCAGCAACAGGTCTCTTCTCATCTGGATCACTTATATATTTTTATCTTTACACCTTAGTCATAGCTCCTTTGAAAATTTTCCATACATTAATTTTAAGATGACTATATATAACATATGTAATTTTAGAATTATAAACAAATACATGGAAACTCTTAAAAAAATTTCACTTGAGAATATTTTAAGACAAGAGACTTTAGATCAAACTTTTCCACTTTCTAATTTACTTCGCTATATATTTCATTTATATGACATTGCCCAGTATTACTATCTTTCAAAGCATTGAAACAATTATTTTCAGATTTAATTATCTTCAAAAATCTCTATATAAAAGTTTATGAAAATACCTAGTCTCCATAATGAGACTGGTTTTCTACCTTAAGTGTAAACATGGCAGTCA